TGATGGAGTAGACAATAAAGATGAAGAAACAGGACAAAGGGTCGTCATTGAGCATTGGTGAGGTCACATGGCTAGCTATTGAAAATGTGTTCATGCACTGTTTATTGTGTACCAATATTTTGTGAATTATTTACAGCAGTTTTTGCAATATTAAAACAATTTAAAAGATTTTTAAAAAGATGTAGAAATACCCCCTAAAGTTAATTATATATAAGACACCCTTATATTTGAGTCATGTTCATATTCTAAATGTTTTACAGCAAAAGTTGACGGGTCTATGGGCGGAATGCGGAAGGTGTGCGTGAGGCACTTGCGGCTTCGCACCCTGAACTTCGTGTGGTGCTCAATCCTCAGAAACCTCGGCGGAACAGCTTTGAGGTCACGCTGATGGAGGGAGACAAAGGTTAGCCTGCCACGGAAAGAAGCCCAAGCAGTATTCAGTCATGTCTTCTTTCAGCTGCCTGCATCGAGTAACAAAGGTTGCATTTTATGGCTGTCCAACGAATTTGTATTTATTTTTTTTACATATGCTGCCTCTGTATTTCTTTCTCCTGAGCAGAGGTTGTTTTGTGGTCTGGCATTAAGAAGGGTCCTCCACGCAAACTTAAGTTTCCTGATCCTGCTGAAGTGGTTTCTGCCCTGAAGGAAGCGTTGAAGAGCAAGTAGAGGTTATAAGGAGACAGGCGAGTCTGTTGCGCTTAACATGTCTTTAACAAATTATAGCTTTGTAAATGGCAATAAAATTAATTTTCCTAATTTTTTTTCTCTCCCTCTAGTCAAGTCATCTTTGTTCCTGGACACTGGATGCATAATGATGTAAATAGACTAATGGGAAAATCTCTCTGTCTGTTTTCTGATGATCGGCTCTGCTGTTCCGGACTGGATAATTGACCTTGCTTTGTTTCTCCTGTTAAACTCTCAAAGTCTTGTTCATGTTCTATTTTGAAATGACTAGTTTTAGATTACTATTACTGGTCTCTGTACTCAATGTTAATGTTTTGTCAGTCTTTTTTTCCTGTTTGACTTATACAAATAAAGCTACCATGATCTACCTTTTATCTGCATCATTATGGTCAAAAGTAGTCTAGAATATAGTCTCATTGTGGCTAAAATATTTCAGACAGATGTGTGGTCTCACATCATATATATATATGCCACTGTGCCTTTTATAATCTTTTGAAGCATGTATTTCCCCTCTGCTGATTTCTCAAAAGGATGTTTTTGCTAGGCTAGTTATGAAATCAAAGTACAGAAACAGTTCAGTAGCACACAAATTAAGACTCAAACACTAAGACATGCCTAAAACAAGATTTTTAACATTGGAAGTGTGGCTCAAGAATTAAAAATGCTGCCAATTCATCATGATGCCGTAAGTCTAATGCTGAGCTACTTCATTTGCCCAGTATGTTGTGGTTTCTTTTATTTTGGATATTTATGTGTTAATATCTAATTTAATTTACCATTTAATTTTATGGCCAATAACAATACAATCCCCTTGTCAGCATTATGATTTTGTAAAAACATCTGTGCTTTAAAGAGGCATGTACCAACAAAAACATCTCAATGCAGTTTAAAGAAAGCTTTATTGTCAAAGGGAGATGTTGTCTGCTGTAAGCAGTAAGTGCTGTGTGTTAAGATTTAATTGACTGATAGCATTATGCTCCCAACAGGTTTTCTCCAAGTAGAGCTGGAATAGAAACCGCCACCTTATATTGGATCATAAATCTATATTCTTTATCCAAAGGTAGTGCTGTTCCAAGCCACATTAGCTGCATCCATATCAACAAAGTTTATATAAATCCTGAAAAACAATACAAAAAGGTTTTACAAAATAAACAAATAATAACTGCATTTGACACATACAAAACAACCCATAATATGAAAGGTATATCTTAAATTAGTATGTATGCATGCATACGCACATTACAGTTTTTCTCGATTGCTAACACACTATAACTGATTCGTTTGACACAATTTTCCAAACCATTCATACAGTTCCTGAAACAAAGACACGTTTCTCAAAACTTTTAACTTTTGTTTTCACACACGCTTCAATTTGCTCAGTATTTTCTGCAAAACTCTACACAAGAACGGCATCATTTTGCACAGGTTTAACCATGTTCTCATTTAGAAAACACAAACACAATATAACTACCTCAAGAATCACAAAATGAACTCAAACAGCACACATTTATCCATGTGTGAACATTAAGTAGCAAAACTGATGACACACCAGTCAGAATCTCAGGATGATATAAAAAGGAGCACAGGTCATTATGTGATTTGGAAAATTAATCCTACTAGTCGGAGACAAAGAGGAGGGGAAATGAAAACTGAAGGGGACGGGGTAAAAGTACATTTATTCCTGATGAAATACACAGCTGCTTTTCTTCTACTGTACTGTAAGATCTCTTTACAGCAGTGTAATGAAATAATCTTTTCTTACTGTAAAGCTTATTGTTGAATTTCACTGTATCTGTTATATTTGCTGTAACATGTATCTGCTCTAATTATGTTGTATACTGTAATAGACATTGAGTTGTAAAATGATACCTGATTGCCAACAGAAGGTTTTTGCAACAGTGTTATGAACTGATCTCACTAGTGTGTAAGAGTGTGCTGTAGTGTGTGTGTTTTTGAGGGGTTGTGTGTCATGTCTGAGGGCAAAGTTTGTTTGTTTTTTCAGCAAAATGGAATAGTTTTGAGTGGAGAGCTTCATTTTGACCTGAAAATAGGAAGTATGGGGAATTGGGAGAGAAGTTATGGATTTGTGTTTAGAGTTTCGAGAAAAGGAGTCACAATTTCAAGAAATGTGTTTAAGCAATCGAGAAAAACTGTAACAACTGAAATTCATTTGAAATTTGCAAGTTGAAATTTTAATTTGTGCATAATATTCTGCTAAGTGCAAAAGACAGACAGCTGTAATACATGGATTTACCTGTCAGGTGAAATGCCAAGGTGTTTGTTTAGCAAGCCCATAAGAAGTTTGGAGTATTGCTTATTTTGCGTGCCGCCGATCTTTCCGATGCTGGTGAGAGAGCAGAGCGCGCACGGATCTCCTTTGCCCCCGAACATCATCATCTGATCCGGGATGATGTGTATGGCGATGTACTGTCATGCAGCAATACATAGAGAAACACACAAGGGTAAATAGTTAATGATGCAGTTATTTTGATGAGTTATTTCTTTTCAAAGAAACAGATCTGAAAGATTCATTCACGAATCCGAGCGGTTCTCGAGTCTAAATTTTCAAAACAAAATGTATATTAATTTCGTGTCATGTAAACGCAATTTTGGCTTATTATAAGCTTCCAAATTACTTTTTGTATGAGTTTATTTTATGAATCGATACATGGCTCAAAAACACTGAACTGAAATACACACTTTTAATACTGTAATACTAGTAAACAGCAAAATGTATGTAATGTCACACACGGGGGATCTGGTATAACGCGGTCACGTAATTGCGTCAGGACGTAAAAGAATCACTGAATCGTTTTTTTTTTTTTGAACTGGTTCTTTGAAACAATTTGTTCGAAAGCATGGTTCACTGAAATGAGACTGATTTCTCATTACTAGTTAAGCTTAATTCGAGACAAATAATAGTGATGATGTATGATGCCTAGATCTCTTTAACGTTAAGACAATGAAAAGTCCAACATGACTTAAGCTACAGCTAAGAGGATAACTGTAGAGTAAGTCTCTTGTATGTTTCATTGTCTCGAGACAGTACTTAGTTCCTCATTCCATGTCCACTAATAAAAAAAGTCATTCGATTTGTAGGAAATAAGAAACATGCAGTCTGCTCACCTGCGCGGGTTTGCCCATTACTTTGGCAAGCTCCTGCGTGGCCTCCGACAGCAGCTCAGCAGGAACCGCGTCCTTTGCAACATTTGTGTTCACCACGAACATCGGCATGACTGCAACGGAGAGACAGCACTTGGTCTACTGCAAAATAGTGCACGGTGGAAGGATCCTTCGGGAATGTATCCAGATGTGAGCCCCGGGTTGAATAAGCTAAGTAACCGCGATGCCAGTACTTCTTCTAGGCTACCGTAAAACACCACATGACCCAAATAAAGATTTGGCAGTGCAGACCCGTTAGCATACCACGTTGCTCGGCTGGCGCATGCAGTCCTAGAAGTGCATGATGATGCAGAAGCATGGTGCACAACCGAAGACAGTTACATTAGCCGACATTTCATTTGACTAATTACTCTAAAACATTTTTTCTTATTTTTTGTTTATTAATTTTATTAGTTTTTTTTTTTACAATTTTTTTTTACAATTTTTTTTTTAAATAAACAGTATTATGCAATAAAGTAAAATATTTATACAATAAACAGTATTATACAAATAACAGCCAAGAGAAAAGTGGAAAAAATAAGACTGTAATGCTGTAGAAATAAGACTATAAAAATTCCAGTGGAATGAAGAACAGCAGAAAGGGATAGTCTATTTGACAATGTTAAGAGCCCTCAAAAACACTGCTGAAACATTTACTTTAACAACAACATTAAATATAATAACAATTATTATCATAAACTTATATTACAATAGTCACCAAATACTTCACATTTAAAAAATACCAAAACTAATATAACAAGATTAAAATGAACTATACTTTATAATGATAAGAAAAGATAAAATTATTATACATAAAATGCATAACAAAAAACAATATAATAATAATAAAAGGCAACATAATAATACTTAAGAAAAATAATTTGCTAGCTGCAGTAAAAATAATTTTTTTTTTTAGCTTTCTTTAAAAAAAATTTTTTTTTTTAGTAAGCTGGCTTTATTCCCTTGTTAATGTGTTCCATAGATTTGGAACATAATTGACAAAAGCTGCATCTTGATAACATAACAGAATATTTATAAATATTATATATATTTATGCTATATATCTTGCAAACATTTGCCTCTGTAATAGTGCACAGCATTTAGCAACAGGGTAAAGAGCTTATTCTTATTTTATTTTGTACGCATATGTATTCAATAACCAAAAAAATCAACGAGCAGGAAATAGCAGTCAAAGCTAACCAGCCAAACCTTTTATTGGCCTACTTTTTCGGGTAATTACGGTAGCTTTGCGCGTGCGCAAAACGCGACATCCGGAAATAATATTGTAGGCGAGAATTAAAACCTCTTGAGTTGAGAAGGGTGGTCTCGACTCGGCGAAACTGTGCCGCTGATAGCGCATACACGCTCGTAAAACATGAACACGGATCTTTTTTAGCCGTCAACTATATTTGGGCCGTCATCTGGAGTGGAATTTCATCTTTTGAGGATTTGATTGGTGTGGTCGCGAGCTTAAAGATAGAGCAGATAGAGAAACAGGGTCCGTTCCTTTGGCTGTGCGCAAAGTTGGGTTACTTCGGGTGACAGCCGTTGCCATAGTTGATGTCAGATTGTTATTACTACATGCTCATTTAAATGAAGTGTTGTTATTGTAAAGCAGATGCTTAAAACATGAAGTATAACTGGTGTTGATCTATGGCGTGACATAGTTTTGTTGGACGGAACTTTATTTATTATTTGTGCGACTGAAAACTAGTAAAACCATGGCGGAATCGGTCAAGACCTTTCAAGTGCACCTGACTGCTGTCATGGACAGTTTGGTCCGCGCATCCGTGTGCGAGATCACCAAACTCTTCCAGGACACGGTGAACGACTACCTGGTGGAAATCTCGCTGAACAGAAAAGAGAACGAAGCGTTGAAATTGAGACTGAGGCTGACTGAGAATAAATTGAGAAACGAACGCAAATATGGCATGGGCTGGGCGGCCAGTCGGCGCGCGGCTGGTCTGCTTGGCGCGGACGACACCGTGCGCAAAGCGCGCAGAACGGATCTCCAAAGTAAGCGCACTGGCCAACTCGGACCCATTGTGTGGTGCTGTTGTTTTATCGTGCATTTTTCGAGCCTTTGAGTGGGAAACCATAATGGCGACCTGCTCCTCAGTTCTCAGGTTTCGTTCTCCTTCCTCTCCTCCTCTTTTGCATTCCTCCCTCCCCCTCCTGTTCTCGTCTCTCCTCTTTCCCCCTCCCATCTTTCTCTCTCAGGAGGCAGGCAGGGGAAGGAGTGGAGTGCTGATGCGTGGAAGGAGGGGACTGGAGGAGTGAGGGATGAGAGGAGGGACGTGTTCCGTGTCCATCTGCCAACTGGAGGAGGTGGAGGTGGGGAGGAGGAGGAGGAAAGGTTATGCGTCTCTGGGGAGAGGAAGGAGGTGGCCAGCATTAAAGAGGAGGTGAGTAACCAATCAGATGTGAGGAAAGAGGAGATGCAGAGGGCTATGGACAGAAGAAGGACCTGAACAGAAAACCCCCTTTCTGCAAATGCAAACTGATTTGAAAGTATATTTTAGTCCATATTGCAAGTGCAAAAACTGCACCAAAGATTATAACCCAAGAATTATAGTAACTGTAATTAACTTTTTTTATCATCTTTCTCTCTATATTATGTTATTTAAAGGGATTGTTCACACAAAAATAAAAATTCTGTCTACTCACCCTCAAGTTGTCCAAAACCTGTATGATTTTCTTTCTTCTACTGAACACAGAAGATGATATTTTGATGAATGTAGGTAACCAAACAGTTGCTGGTAGCCATTGACTTCTGTAGTATGGATAAAAAATACAATGGAAGTCAATAGTTACCGTCAACTGTTTGGTTACCTATATTCTTCAAAAAAATCTCATACTGTCACTCTGAAATGGAGTAATGGCATACGCTGACTTTCTGAAAAGCCCTACATGTATTGAGGCGCATGAACAAGGATCACAAAACCCAGACGGTCTTTAAGCGGGAGCGCTGACAGTTAAAGTCCATTTCTGATTTTATTGTTGTTTATATTGTCATGTTGCGGTATTTTACTTAATAAAAAATATTTTTATTTTTGGAATTTTATATGCTCTGGTGGTTGGTGGGGTAGCATCAACCGGGGGGATTTTTTTTTTTCACCCACAAAACTTGTGATGATGTGTGATGAAAATGATGACAGAATTTTAATTTTTGGTTGAACTATCCCTTTAAGAGGTCATATTCCCAAAAGTATGCATGTGCTTGTTGACTATTAATAATAAGACTACATTTACATCTGATTTTAACATCTGTATGGTGCTCAGATCACAAGTGGACAGTGTTATTTACCAGTGTAAAACAAGGTCAATGTATTTTATAATTTAGCTGCTCAAATCACAAGTAGTCAGAATCACATATGATCACATCACTAAAGGACCACCAACTTACCTGTCAATCAAAATAATACACCTTTATTGCACTAAAACAAGTTTAAATGTTAAAATAACAGCACGTATGTAACATAAGATTACTATCACCTCAGCTCTGCCTGAAATGTTTATTATCTGTTTTAAAAGAAATGTTTTATTGTTAGCAAAGTGAATTTATTTTACACCTTATGTTCTTGTTCTTTCTGCTTCTGTGGGATGATGGATAAAGGTGGAAGGCTACAGATCAGACTCCCTGAGGCTGTTGCAAGAGGCTCTACAGATGAACCAAAGTGAAACCAGCCCTTCCTCCCCCAGTCCCACCCACGGTGAGCACTGCAATGCTTTGTTTGGGAAAACGGCTAATAATTTCTTTGTGATTGTGAACATGAACGGGTAAAGGAATAGTTCACTTGAAGAACACAATTTTGTCATTAGGTACTCACCTTTGTGTTGTTCTTTTTTTCAGTGAAACACGAGGAGAAATTTTGAAAACTGTACACATTTTTTCATACATCAACAGTATATTGGGCCCACGACTGTCAAGTTCCAAAAAAAAGGTGACTAATTTTACGCAAAAGGAATGGTTCACACAAAAATGAAACTTTTGTCATCATTTACTCACCGTCACATCATTCCAAACCTGTATGACTTTGTTTTCTTCTGTGGAACATGAAAGAAGACATTATGAAGAATGTTGGTAACCAAACAGTTCTGAATCCCATTAACTTCCATTATATTTTTTGTCCATACAATAGAAGTCAGTGGGAACACCGAAACTGCTTGGTTACCAACATTCTTAAAAATATCTTCTATGTTCCGCAGAAGAAAAATGCAACAGGTTTGGAAGGGTGTGTCCAGTTTTTTACTAAATTACCTGTTATAGGTCAATGAACTCCCCACTGGAAGGGTTTCAGGACAAGCACGGCGGATACAACTCAAGCCATTTTTAGCTTTTTATTGCGTACACATACACAATAATCATTCGCAAGCAAGGTAGCCTGAATGTTACTGCTACGCTAGCCTATCAGTTAGTTATATGTGACATTTTAGCTTGTCAGTTAACTAATCAGTTAGGATGCTAGGTTATAAACCGGCAATTTACAGGGTGAGTAAATTGATAGAATTGTTATTTTTGGATGGGCTGTCCCTTTAGTGACTTAAGTTTTTGTTTTGCACACAAAGCCATTGTATTGATACTTTTATGGTTTTTAATGTACATGTGTGTTTTTGAGAGCTTGACAGCTGTGGCCACTATGAACTGCTGATGTATAAAAAAGAATGATAAAAAAGCTGATGTGTGTAAATTCAGCTTTGCCATCACACTAATAAATTGTATTTTCAAATATTTTCAGGTAGAAAACTGTAATAATATTTCACAATATTTATGTTTTTACTGTATTTTTGAAGAAATAAATGCAGCATTGGTGATCATAAGAGACTTCTTTGAAAAGCATTTCTAGCATTTAAATTTGGAGGTAAAATTTTGTCCTTAACGCGCTTATGTCTGATATATCTAATTTCTGTCTGCAGGTGAAATGGGCCCTGCTTCTGCTTGTCCTGAATCTGCTGCTGCTGAAGTGTGGGAGGAGCAGCCGGCCTTGTCAGAGGAACCAGTGATCGGTGGAGATGAGCTCAGCGGACTGGAGACGGCCCTCAAGGCAGAGCGCGAACGTGAGGAGGCGGAGTCTGGCCTGGGCAGCCCGTCTCAGGAGACGTGTGGATCTGAAGGCGTGGCGTTCATCGGACTTGACGGTTTATGTAGCTCTCAGCAGGCAATGTCGTCCTCGTCACATAGAGCAGACCCTGCTGAACTACAACTCCCATCAGCCCCTAGCAAAAAAGGAGAAGTAGAGGAGTCAGTAGGAGACAGTGGGGACATGCTGCATTTCTGCGAAAGGTGCGGCAGCGGCTTCAATTCCACGTCTGACCTCATGAAGCACTTGTGCCCTGCGGCCGAGGAGCGGCCCTATCAGTGCTCCGTGTGCGGGAGAGCGTTTGGCCACGCCTGGAGCCTTAAGAGCCATGAATGTGTCCAGGCGGGAGAGCAGATTCACCACTGCGAACTCTGCGGCAAACGCTTTACGCACTCGCGGTCCCTCGAGCGTCATCAACTGGTTCACACAGGTGAGCGACTACGCTAGCCTATCAGTTAGTTATATGTGACATTTTAGCTTGTCAGTTAACTAATCAGTTAGGATGCTAGGTTATAAACCGGCAATTTACAGGGTGAGTAAATTGATAGAATTGTTATTTTTGGATGGGCTGTCCCTTTAGTGACTTAAGTTTTTGTTTTGCACACAAAGCCATTGTATTGATACTTTTATGGTTTTTAATGTACATGTGTGTTTTTGAGAGCTTGACAGCTGTGGCCACTATGAACTGCTGATGTATAAAAAAGAATGATAAAAAAGCTGATGTGTGTAAATTCAGCTTTGCCATCACACTAATAAATTGTATTTTCAAATATTTTCAGGTAGAAAACTGTAATAATATTTCACAATATTTATGTTTTTACTGTATTTTTGAAGAAATAAATGCAGCATTGGTGATCATAAGAGACTTCTTTGAAAAGCATTTCTAGCATTTAAATTTGGAGGTAAAATTTTGTCCTTAACGCGCTTATGTCTGATATATCTAATTTCTGTCTGCAGGTGAAATGGGCCCTGCTTCTGCTTGTCCTGAATCTGCTGCTGCTGAAGTGTGGGAGGAGCAGCCGGCCTTGTCAGAGGAACCAGTGATCGGTGGAGATGAGCTCAGCGGACTGGAGACGGCCCTCAAGGCAGAGCGCGAACGTGAGGAGGCGGAGTCTGGCCTGGGCAGCCCGTCTCAGGAGACGTGTGGATCTGAAGGCGTGGCGTTCATCGGACTTGACGGTTTATGTAGCTCTCAGCAGGCAATGTCGTCCTCGTCACATAGAGCAGACCCTGCTGAACTACAACTCCCATCAGCCCCTACCAACAAGGAAGAGGAGTCAGGAGGAGAGAGCGGGGACATGCTGCACTTCTGCGCACGCTGCGGCAGCGGCTTCAGTTCCACATCTGACCTCATGAAGCACTCTTGCCCTGCGGCCGAGGAGCGGCCCTATCAGTGCTCTGTGTGCGGGAGAGCGTTCGGCCACGCCTGGAGCCTTAAGAGCCACGAATGCATCCAGGCGTGTGAGCAGCCGCACCACTGCGAACTCTGCGGCAAACGCTTCACGCACTCGCGTTCCCTCGAGCGCCATCAGCTGGTTCACACAGGTGAGCGGTCTCAGCTCGGGTGGATGCAGTAAAAGAAGAAAATCTGAAGTTAAAATCAGAGAATCAGGTTCTTGGGCAGTACATTGAGAACCTCATGTCGGCATCTAGTGTGTTTCAGACCACTGACTCCAAGAGCAAACGGAAGTAAGAGAGCATCCCTCGTGTAGACGGCAGCCCCACACAGATAAACCCTTGCCATATCAGCTCATTTAAAGTTCCCATTAGCATTCATTTGATCCTTATGCCACTAAGATGGTAAATGTTTACATTTATTTCATTATCAGTATTTATGTTTGTTTACATTTCATCTTATTAAAATCATTTTATAAAGAGATTAATATTTTATATGTATGTTGTTTTGTAGTTTTTTTTTATGTTCAGACAGGTTATGATAATATTATTTGTAATATTTTACATTGTTTTTGTCTCGCTAAACAAATTGATATGTATTTTGTACTTCCTTTCATATTTTTGCTTTGTAGATAAGATGAGGGTACAGCTGTGATGATGTGACAGTTGCTCTCTCCCGCTGAGCTGTTTGTCTGTATCAGGACTGATTATACTCAAGTTGAGAGAAAACATTACAGGTCATTCTGATCAGGGAATGAAATTTAGACTCTTTTCTTGGTGCTATCAACAGAAGGGAGTTCTCTGGCATGCATCACATCTGTGCCTCTGAATATATTAATGTATTTGTATGTGTAGAATCTTACCATTGCGTGGCATTGCACATGCCTGTTTTAATTAAAACAAATTTGCTGTGCTGTGAGTGAGTCCTTCTGTTTAGGATTTTTAGGCCCCTGTGGTGGTTTGTTTCTCAGTCAGTCATCTCACTTCATCTGGGATTCAAGTCTACACATATTCCATCCAGAGTTTGGAGGATTATATCAGAGTCTTTGGTACCCACCTGCTCTCATCAGAGGAGTGAGGAACTGAGTCTCATAGTAGCGTTAGCGTTGCCTTCCTCTCTTCCACCCTTGCTTCAGATTGTGAATCTGCATCTGAATGTGTGTCTCCCTCTTTCACAGGCTTACCAAAGGTGTTCGGAAGGACAAATCAACTAGTGTTTAAATATGCTGTAACCAATATGTTGGAGTAAGCATATCTAAGATTAAAGCTGAAATGTGTACATTTTTTATGCAATTCTTTTCCCCTAGTCTAGCTTGATTCATTTGCAGGTTGATGTTCTTAAAAAGTTTGAGCATTATAGTGCAATCAAGTCTGATACAGTAGCACTGGGTGGGATTATTTGTTTGTCTGACCAATGGAGTTAATTTTTTTAATAACTAAAATTAATTTTGCAATTCTACTTGGTGTTGCTAGTGATAAAGAAATAAAAAAATAATATGACATGAGCAGAAAAGAACACAATGATGCCGTGACAAGTTGGTATTGCTGCCATATACTGAAAGTCAAATATTTTAAATAATTCAGTATAATATAAAACATGGTCAAATCCTGTTTGTGTGGTCCCTTTAAGTTATTTTGCAACACTAAACAATAATTTAAATAAAAGAATTTATACAAAATGAATAAATCAAACAAAACCTTCATGGACCACAATAAACAAATAACGATGTAAACAGGTTTTTCACTCCTTTTTAATGAGGGAAACATCCTGTCATTGCACCTCAAGATAGTACACAGCAATGCCAATCATTCAAGCATAGGGAGGTTCCTTTCCAGACCAGCAGCATGCGCTGTTGTCCACAGCAGGAGGTATTACATGTTACCATGCAGATCAAATTTCTCCTTTCTCATCAACTCAAACAGGATCAAACTTGAATAAAGATCTGTCAAAGAAAGAGATGTGACTTTTAAGCAAACCTTAGATACTGTGTCACAGCTGCAAACAAGGCTAGTGGGTAACAGGAAGCACAGACTTCCTCAAAAAGGCCTTTTCATTTATAGACAAAATAGAAAGAACTTTTTATAGTTACACAGAAATATCAATAAAATGGTGACTGAACACTGTGAGATACTGAAATACTGTGAATGAATTTACAAGAATTTTGCAAAACATATTCAAATGAGATATCTCATTAGATATCTCGTTTGAATAATATATTTGAAGATATACTTGGCCCTTTGGGTTGATCTCCTAACTAAAAAAAAGTGGACAACTTCAACTTTCTGTTGTAGGGGAACTCTTGTACTCTTGGTCAAATTACACATTTGCTCATTTTAAGTGAATATATGTTCAAATTAACTATTGGCATTTTTGTTCTTGTTAATGATTTAAATAATAAAAACAGTTAAATTAACAGATTTAAAAAATAAAAAAAAGCTAATTTAGCATATACAGTTTGGACTCTCTCTTTAAGGCTTAATTCAAGTGGCTGTGCTTACATAAAGGCAAGAAATGAAAGAAAAAGAAATATGTTGAAACTGAAAATTAACTTATCACAATCAAGCATTAAGTGGTTTACAAAATAAAAGATTAAAGTTTTCTGAATGAAAGGACAAAAAAATAAACATAAGAAAGAGAATAACAACAATTGTGGGCTATAAGAAATGTTTACAGGCGTGTTACAATTGTTAATGACAATCTACCCACACATATGCTGCAATAAAAGTCCCTGATTTATGAAATTGTGAGATAATATATTCCATGTTTCACATGAAGTAAAATACTTGAAGTGATTAGCTGGAGAATGCTACACTAGCTTAGCATTATGTTGTAATGAAGGACCCAATAAACCACCCTGATAAGCCCTACGAGTGCTTTCCCGGTTTTGTTTGTCATACAGATGCCTTATGACCTCTTCCTTACTTTCATTTGATTTTACTGTAAGAGTGAAACACCTCACATACATACATGTGCTAACAAACCACTTTCCTTTCCGCATTTCCCTAGAGAAATGTCAATTGGGTTGGGTCTGTTTTTTTTTTGTTTTTTTTTAATCTTCATTGCATTTCTGTGTGTTATGTATTACTCATGTCAGTATGGCTTTCTCTGAATTAAATGACTGTTAGCTCAAGCCCTTCCCAATTATGTGAGGCCTGTTTCTAAGGGCTATTTATAGGTGATATGAATGTGGTTCACCTCACTGAGAAGGACCCAGACATCAGAATCAGAGTGAACCAGGAGTCGCATGGCCGCTATTTCTCCTAATGCTCCGTCCACTTCTCCCTCAGCCATTCCATTCTTGAAAGAACCTGAGAAAGCAGACATTTATGACATATCCCATCACAAAATAAACAGAAACCACCTGACCTCTTTCAATCAACAGATTGCATGACAGGTGCCACGTTTTGATGCTGGTTTTCACACTCACACACATTCTTGGTCTCAGACAATGGGCAAGCACGCTCACATACATTTGCATAACCACTTTTGATCTCACATTCCTCATTGTGGTTTATCCAAATATTTGAAAACAAAGCAAGTGTGTATATTATTACAGACATGCACATGCACACTTGCTCATGTTTCTGATCAGATAGTCTCATAACCTCATAATTTTTCAGGAGTCTTTGATAAATATAAAGTTCAAAAGAACTGCATTTATTTGTCACTTTTGATCAATTTAATGCATTGCTGTTGAATAAAATTCTTTAAAAAAAAAACCTTTGAACGGTAGTGTACACTTTGAAAGTTCTTTGTTCATTTAAAAATGAAAAAAGTAATGACTTGAGTTTCAGTGAGTGAGAACCACACTGATTAAGCAAATGAGAGAAACGTTAGAACAATTTAAACTGAGTCACAAGTCTTAGTGACCAGTTCAATAAGAAAATGAAAACACACACGTCAGCTAAAAACAAACAAACATTTTTTCAGTACTGGTTCAAGTATGCTGTCATAGTGTCACTACACTCGGTACTCCACACTAGTGGAAAAAATGCAGCCAATCAAGAACTGGTTATGAAACCGAACATCACGAAAATCATTCAGCTCTTTAATGAAAAAATAAATCTGAAATAAAGTTCAGAATAAGAATCGTTTTACCCAACCCTATAACTTGTGTTAACAGACGTGTTCACAAACCTCGCAGGCCAACTCTGGAGTTTCCTGTAATTATCATGATTATCATCACAGCTAGCTTTACAACAACTCTTAACGGACTAGTATCATTACATAGTTTTTTATGATGTATCAAAATCTCTCTAACTTGACATTCGTAGTTCACTGACAAACAAATGATTGCACTTCATCTATATGTATATATGCAAAATCTTACAAATGAGTGACAGAAAAGGAAAGAAAAGAAAAGAAACAGGAAATCGAATATGGTTGAGTACCTATCTGAACAAAGCCATCAGATGAGGGTTTACAGCAGGCTAATTCTCCTCTCGTCACCCTCACTTTCACAGATTTCTGTAATACACAAACATACCTGTTAACACCTCATACTTCACTGCAAATGGAAAAAAAGTCATATCAGGAAGTATTTACAAAAATCCTTGTCTAACAGGTTTGAGGTAAAGGTTGTCTGTAGAGAAATGTTTACATGGCTTGCAAGCACAGGAGCAAGGCCCCATCACGACAAGCAAATGAATACAAATGTTCACTTAGAAAAAGGGTGTAGTCATATATGTCTAAAGTTATGACAATACCAACATATTTTACACAAACTGAAACCACCCATTTTTTCGGGCAGCTTTGGTTCATTTCACAATATTTAAGACATTTAAAGTACTTAAGGGATTTAAAAATAAAACTATTAAACATGAAGCATACCAACCAGTTCTGGGATGAACAACAACAAAAAAGTGAACTTTAAAAAGATTGTGTGCTTATTATCTTTTATGAGGGAATGACTTACAGACCCATAAATTATAACAAATGACATAATCAAATAAAAGACATCAACACAATATAAAACTATTAGGGAGTATACTAGTAGGGAGACTCGTTGTCGTTTACAATGTTTCATAGCAGAGGGTGGTTGGTCACTGCTGAGCACTTTTTTTTCTGATTTGTTGTGATTCTCTGATTGGTGGATCATTCTCTTCAGGTTTCATGGGTAGTGTAGTCCTTCACCTGGAATTTGGCTGTTAATAGTTATTGTTTTTTTTTTACTGATGCTTCAACAGAACCTCATGGTCTGTCCTGAAAGGTTTACACTACGGTTCAAACGTTTAGGGTCAGTAAGATTTTTTTTTTTTTTGTGGAATGTTTTGTTCAACAAGGATTCAATAAATTCATCAAAAGTGATAGTACAGTTTCTATTTTTCAAAGAATCCTGAAAATAAGCGTATCTCGGTATCCACAAAAACAGTAATCAGCACAACTGTTTTGAACATTGATAATAATATTATGTTATGAAATGTTTGAGCGCCAAATCAGCATTTTAGAATGATTTCTGAAGGATCATGCACTGAATACTGGAGTACTGGCTGCTGAAAATTCAGCTTTGCCATCACATGAATAAATTACAGTTTATAATATATTAAAATAGACAACAGTTTTTTTAATGTAATAAATATTTCACACTATTACTGTTTTTACTGTATTTGTGATCAAATAAATGCAGCCTTGGTGAGCATAAAAGACTTGTTTCAAAAGCAATAAAAATCATTCTGCTCTCTCAAACCTTTGAACCGTAGTGTATACAGACCTTTTTTTGGCATGATACTTACACTAGTAGGGAGCACCTCCACTGTTGTGTTGTAAAACCTGTCACCATTTGTCTCAATATTGCCAGATCGAAAAAGGTACCTGGAAGTGAGTGGAATAAAAATATAAAAATATTAAATCAGCCAATTAAGTCCATTTGTCTAAAATGTCTGGAGTCTAAATGTTTCTCATGCCATAGATGTTGATGATAGAGTTTAACTTACAAACTGTATAAAATTAATAGGTGGTTTTGTAAGTTATGTATGTAGCTTAAACAAGCCATTGTTTCTGTAGCATCAGTGGAATTTATTTAGCAAGTCAAAGAGACGGTCTGCTGCATTTAAAAAAACAACCAGGAATTTCTCTGGGCTCATTACATCACTCTTTGTCAAGTGACAGATGCACCCATTACCTATGATTTCATGAAGATTGTACTGAGAATGTCCAGATTTCTTTACAAGACCTTCCCCAAATGTCAACTTAGTTTTGAGCTCCTGAACAAACATTGCCAGTATAGAATATCCTGCTCAGAGGAGCTGAAACAGAAGCCATTGGTTCACATTCTTTCAGCAGGGCAAACTCACTTTAATATAAGAGCGCACAAGCAGACAGCTGGGTTCATTTACACTGCCACTGGGGTTTTACTTCTATTTCTATATCCACGTAAAGAGATATTTACAATACGCCATGGCTGCTGAAAGACAGACTCCCCTAAACATACTGAGCCATATCGAGTTTTCTTTCACAGATAAAGGGATAGTTTACCCCAAAATGTACCTGTATGACTTTCTTTCTTCTGCAGAACACAAAAGACGATTTTGAACAACACTGGACTTCACGGAATTTCATTGTAAGAAAAAAAAAACCATGGCAATGATTTTCAAAATATCATTTTTTTGTGCACACACACAAAAAAACAGACCGTTTTGGACTACATGAGGGTGAGTAAATGACGACTAAATTTTCAAATTCTAGTCACATACAAACTGGATATAGAAACTGGAACTTTAGCAGGATTGCCTGTTTCCATGTACACTTTGTATACTCATCAAATGAATGTCCTGCACTGATGTCTCACCCTTTGACAGCTTGAGGTGTGATGAAAGTAATGAGGATATAATCTCCTCTTTTGGGTGTGAGGCCCCAGAAGAAATCCACTCCATTGTAAGCTCTCTCCAGAGTGTGAGACAGATATTTCTCCAGACTGCTCCTGAGTTCTGCTAGCGGGTTATTGTGACCTTTGAACAGCACCTGATTCCCAAAATCTTTATCCTGTACATCACATAAAATCACAGACATACAGATAAGCGCTGTTCCAAAACCTAGTGAGCTGACTTGCTGTATATTGTCTACACAGATAGCTGCCTTCAAAGGCAGCATCCTAACTGTAATAGAACTTAATAAGTGAGCGATTTGGAACACTCTACATAGGCATCATGTGAAGTGCACAAGAAAACTGTGAGAGACCTCTCACTTCGGTTGGTCTGGCTGTTGATTTGGTGACAAGATCCTGACACTCATATGTTGTAATGTCCTCTCATGTCCTTGCGTGAGCGTGCGAGTTCAGGGATTTTTCTCTGAGCCCTGCATTCTTTTGTATATGTATTGTATTTGGGGCTTGGTGTCTGGACCTTGACAATTCTGTCTACTTTGGTTTCGATCCTAGGATCCTGACAGTCAGGCTCCGGGCACTGTCTTGTGTCATGTTTCCTATAGAGTACATGGCACATGTTTATATTCATTTGCTGTGTGCTCTTCTGTCTTGACATTGTGTTTGGTGGTTTTTCTGTTGATTTTTTTAGTTTTTTGTTAATAAAGACCTATTGAGTACATCTGGGATATTCTGCGTTTTGGTTCTGTCGCAATTCCTGACAAAACCAAGCTAGCTTGTAATATTAATTTTTTCTGGACACATTTGGAACTTTGTATTGCTGCACTTTTAATGGGAATGTTTCTTTAAAGGGGTCATATGGTGCGATTTCAATTTAGTTTTGAGCAGTGTAGAGTAGGGCTTGTTGTTTGTCATTTCTCCGATCACAAATGCAGACATTGGGTTTGTTTACGCGGCGCGATAGGCAACGCGTAAAAAGACTGTATAAGTCATTATAATCAGTAATTATTTATGTCCCCACTGGATGCAACAAATGCCTTGTTTATAATGGGTTTTAATGTTTTTGTCTCGTCACTCTGGCCGGGACAAGCCATCACAGTATGGTAAGGGGCGTAACATTTCCGTCACACGCTTGAGGTATTCGGCCAATCACAACGCACTGGATAGCTGGCCAATCAGAGCACACCTCGCTTTTCAGACCGATGAGCTTTGTAAAAACAGACGCGTTTCAGAAAGACGGGGCATAGAGGAGAAACACACTTAAAGGTGAAGTGTGTAATTATCTTTGAAGGTAAAATTCTTCCTCATAGCCCAGTTTATTTTTCAGAGAAAACTACATGTTACCTATTGGTTGGGTGATGTCCCAAAATAACAAAATAAAATTATAAAAAAAAAAAAAATTAGCAATTCCGATTGGTGCCATTAGCACACCAGAAATGACACACTTCACCTTTAAGATGAATTACATGAGTTGTGTTATTACAAATTTGTAAGTCATTATGGAAATACAATGTGCTAATATAAATAATGTAAATGCCCTCTTTGCAATGTAGATAAGCTGTTGTCTACACCTACAGACCTATAGTACTTTTGGATTGTAGGTGGCCACTATTCTACTAGAAATGCATCTTGCATTATAATATTATAGTTTTATTCATATTTTGAATAAGTTTTAATTTTTATATTCTCCATTTTCAATTTAAATTGACAAAGTTTTAGTAAGTTTGTTGTGCATTTTTATTATTTTTTAGTTTTACTTTTTTTTTTTTTTTTTTTTTTTTTTTAGTTCAGAGTTAAACTAAATAAAAATGAGAAATTTTGTCTTGGCAACTACCTGAAATAAAAAAAAAACTACCTGAAATTTATTTATTTATTATTTTTATTTCAAGTAACATTGTTTTTATGGTTTCAGTTTTAGTTTTCATTGACTAAAACTAAACCTTAGCATATAAGCATATGAAAATCTTCATACAAGGAAGAGGAAGTTTGAATTACCTTTAGGTTTTGAATTTTACCGGGGAGTGAGGAATGCAAACCAACATGCTGAAACAGGGAGGGTTTGTAAGTTCTCTTCAGTCGGGCCTTCTCATTATGGCAGTGTTTCTAAGTGCAATGAATTATAACAATAAACAATGAAATGTCTTACATCAATCTCACAAACAAATAAATAAATAACAAACAAACAAACAAATATAAGTGAATATTATATTCAAACTTACTGAGTCTTTCTCAGGATTACACACTTTAACCCACAGGATGTGATCGAGCAGCCAATCGATTGGCTTGTCTTTGTGAAACATCAGGAAGAACTCCACAATCATTGGCAGATCTGATGTGCGGAAAAGCTTGCCTAGAATATGAAAAATTAGCGATATACTTAATTTCATGCTAGGACACAAATAGTATCATAGATTTGGTCATAGTAAACAGTATTTATGGGAGCTGTGAGACACTGACAATGTTCCTTGAAATAAGAGACTATTTGAATAATCAAGAAGATCTGAACTGAATTATTTTAAATTCAAATATGTAATAAGCAAATCCTAACAGAAATTGTGTTTGATTTTTAACAAAGAGGGCTCATATTATATAAAGACCATAAATTTGCATTCACAACTGAGACTGCACATCTAACGACTATTTTTCAATGAACTACTGGTCCAGGTGTACAAATAACAAAACAGCACACGTATGAAACAACTGATCAAACAGAAATGGTGGGAGAGAAGAGAATGGGAGAGGTTAGAAAAGACAGGACATCAATGAACAGAGAGGACAAGACACTGACCAATGAATCCCAGCTGGGAAAACTCCAGGAAAAGCCACTCCTCTGAAAGCACATATGCTATAAATTTTTTCATGGACTCAAAGAATCCTTGTTTTGCTATAATATCATCCTCAAGCTGAAACACATATGCACAGACTCAGACTGATAAAGGCAATGAAACATAGAGCTAACAATGAGCTGCATGACAGTGTCTTTGGCATTACCTGGACATAGTATGTGCCCTTAGACTGCGCATACAACATGAGGAAACTGTAGTCAAGGTTCTGCTTGGTCCTCCATCTATAATCAGTAAAACATGTTTCACAATTAAGACACCATCTATTTCCAGTTCTTTACAACATTTGCACAATAGGTGAATCGCTAACCTGACACGCTCCTTGGGATCTCCAAATGTTTCCTTCAGGTTACTTAAGTCTGGGTAATAGTGAGGTGATGGAGAGATCACCTCTATCACTCCAGCACTGACAGCATCTGGGAGACTACACAGAGTGAAATACACAGTTACTTGCACTGTGAGCTTAAAGAAACATGGAAACATCTCTTATGAAGCAGATGAGTAATTAAAGAAACACTCACTTGGTCTGTACACTCTGTACAACAGCATTCACAAATATTGCATTTGTCTAAGACAAGAATGAAAATACATATCAGTGAATAACAAAGTGCACTGCTGTTCAAAAGTTTGGGATCAGTAAGATTTCTTTTTTAATTAATACTTTTATTCAGCAAGGATGCATTAAATTGATCACAAGTGACAGTAAAGGCATTTATAATGTTACAAAAGATTTCTATTTCAAATAATTGCTGTACTTTCTATTCATCAAAAAAATTTATTGAAATTTCCACAAAAATATTAAGCAGCACAAATAATTCTTGGGCACCAAAATCAGCATATTAGAATGATTTCTGATGGATCATGTGACACTGAAGACTGGAGTAATAGCTGCTGAAAATTCAGCTTTGCCATCACAGGAACACATTACTATACATTAACAAATCGTACTGATTCCAAACTTTTGATCGGTAGTGTATACTGTAAACAATTTTTGTTTACACTGATTGAAATCAAGTTTAAAATCAGGAATAAAGATGAATCTGCACACCTTCACTTAATGAAAAAGGCCAAAAGTCCAAGATCAGTAAAAAGAAGAACATTTATGCATATTGTGAAACATTTAAGCTACAGCTAATTGTATTAAATGAGCCCACACATTTGCATTAGTTCAGATCAGCCACAGTAAAGATTTTTGTAAACAAAACTTTTCTTTGTATACAACAGTGGTTCTCAATTCCAGTCCTCGCGTACCACTGCTCTGCATATTTTGCATGTCTCTCTTATTTAACACACCTAATTCAGATAACCAGCTCGTTTTCTGGTTATCTCGTTATTATTATCACACACAGACGAAACGTAGAGAAGTGACATAATGTACCTCTGTAAATAAATACAATTTAAATTCACGTCTCACACACTTTAATGCCCTTTGAATGGAACATGTCCGTTCCCTTCGAACTGGAATCATGACGGACTATCCTGTGAAGTACACTTCGCATATGACTTACGGTCAAATAGAACAGACTTCTGAAGTGACAAGAAAAACATACAAAATGTACAGAGCAGTGGCACGCGAGGACTGGACTTGAGAAGCGCTGGTATACAACACTATCAAATTCCTTGGTTAAAAATCAGACTTAACAACTCATAACATAAAATGGCTTTATAGGAATGAATTGATATAACACCATAAAGTTTAATGCAACCTTACCAGAGCAATAAAAGCCCGGAGAGATATAAGATAACAAAGAGCACAAGTAAATGGTTACCTCGGCAATAAAGACTACAATGACAATATCTTTCCTCTCGGCAGTTGATAGGTCAAATAGGAGAGACTGGAGTGTGTTCACTAGATAACTCTGTTTCTGCCTGTGCACGGTGGGCACTCCTAACACCAGAGACACTGCGTAAACAGTTAAAACTGTGTGTCAGCTTGTCTTCCTATGGTGACTGCATTACAGTGATTATGTATGCGTAAAACTATTAGAAACTACAAAACTGACAAAGTAAAAGAAACATTATGATAGCATATGTTCAAAAATAAATAAAACATCATAATACAATATACCATATTAGATTTGCAGGAAAATTAATAGTGTTAATGTTTCAGTGAAGGGTTTTTAAGGGCTAATTAGGGTTTCAAATAAAATGTTGCAACTGTGATGCTTTGCTGCTTTCATGATACTCAGCAGGCAATTTAACAATACATAAACACTGTTGTAACAGCAGTTATAGCTGATTAAAGAGACACATGAAAGAAAAGAGCAAAATGTATTATGCAAAAAGAAGGCCAGAATTTAGTATGCAAATTTTACAATGATATCTTTGCTTGTGGTTACATTTTGTGGATGGGAGATTGAGATCGTAGCTTCTTATGTAAAGACACAGTTGGTCTTTTGCCCTTAATAGAAGTTTAAAACATTAAGACTTTGATATTACCTATGACAAGTATGTTTAAATCTACATTGCAAGCACTGTAACAATACAATTGCAAAAAATGATAATGGGAGACAGACCTCCAGAGCGTCGCTGCCCCAGGTGAACGATGGGTTTCAGACTGTCCTCATGCTCCTTCAGGTGAGGCAAGTAGATGTGGGCATCAGGCTGTGAAGGCAACAAGCGCCGAAGGACCCTCTCTTCTAATATAGCTAAAAAGGCGGATAAAATACTGAATAACTGTATAGACACAAATATTACAGCAAGAAATGTGCTTGGACTCACCTGAGGAGTTGCTGATTGTGTGATTCGATGGAGCAATGCTGCGGTTTTGAAGTTGACCAAGCACTTTAAGCAGTTCTTTTGATAAGACCTCCCCTCGTTGTTCTGCCCGCAGTAACCTCTCATAGACCGAATGCAGCTGAAATGGCAAGTTATCTGAAACACAGAAGTCATCTCATGATGTGAATTAAAGGGATGTTTCGGGCTGAAAACAAGTTAATTTATTAAGCTTTATTAACAAGTTAAGCTTTGCAACAGCATTTGTGGCATAATGTTGATCACCACTGAAAATAACCAGTTCTAAAAATAATTTGTTTAAAAAAGGGAAAATAATGGTTCATAGAGGAACTTCCAATGGAAATGTTCATATGATGCAATTTATATCAATCATCATGTTTAATTGCTGCCTACAGAAACTCAAAGCTGATTCCTTTGGCTTTCTGCAAACAACAATTCTATTCGTATATGGCCCGCAGTGTCTTTTAGCACGGCCCGCTGGATCATATTAGCCTCGGATGATCAATTTTAAAACATTTGAAAAGCAAGTCACGTAAAGATTGCTTTCAGTTTATGATGTTAATATCTCCAACCAGGAGAGGTCACTAGTTTCCAGCCGCTCCCCTATTAATTTCAGTGTAGGACGTGCACTTATGTAAACATTCATTAACATTAGCAAATAATAAATGAAAAACTGACCATGAAAACAGTATTTTCAAGTCAAGATGGTAAACAGATTATCTTTTTACCAAGTTCAAGGGGATACCCTTAAATTTGGATATTTTGGAAATCTGTATTTGATTTAAATCGCCATCACACCACTGCTCACAAACAACGGGGACGCCAGAGTTGCACTTGCCTCAAATTTCAAAGGTAAAATTCATAGTCAACAAAAGCTTTTTGCCAAATGCATGACAGAAATGTTTGCGCTGGACTATGTTCTTATTAGGGTTTCCGCGGGTCCTTAAAACGTCTTCAGTTAAATTGTTTACATTTAAGGCCATGCAAACCCTTAAATGGTACAAAAGTCTAAATTACAAGAGGTCTTTGGGGACGGAAAGACAAGAATTGCTATATGGATTAATATGACGATTAAACTTCAAAAGGCTACGATTTCACTGAATAAACTTGAGCGCTGCACGTCAGCTTTGTGTACTGCGGTTACCGGGGAAACCATATGCAGCAGTTTCGAAAGTGAAACTTGCTGGCAGAGAACGAATTTGGGTAACACTTTAGAATAATGGTCCGTTGTTAACAAGTAAATAATAATAAAAATGTCATTTAAAAATGTTAATAATTAGGAAGTGATTGAATTAGTTCACAATTATGAGCTCTAGTTTGTGTCAGTTCAGTATGTCTCCGACTCCAAAAGACCTATACCTTTAGTGACAGTAGGCTGGGGAGGATTTTTTGAATTTTGCTCAAATTTCAAAACCAGAAATCACCTTTTTAAAATGTTATCCATCTGTTGTATTATTGACATCATTTTGTAATCAACTGTCTCACATGAAAGAAATCTTACTGGAAAGAGTTCCTGCAATACCAGTTTGTCTGGCATCCAGGAAGCTGACATTGCACCACGTCTGACAGGTTGACAACTGACTGAGTAAAAAAAAAAAAAAAAAAACTTAACACTTAATTTCTCAAATTCTCAATTATGGCTTCTTTGGCATTGATATACAACTCACTCAAGTCCAAAATGTCAGTACAGAAATTGTCAAACAAACAAAACAAGCAGACGGTTAATAAATGCATATTCCGAATAACCAATCGGAATATTTCAGGCAATCTTCAGAGGATGATCATGCTCACCTGACTTTGATGTGTGCCAGGAGGTTAACATCAACACACATACAAAACCGGCGACGAAGAAAAGTTTGCCATACGAGGACCTCATCTCATTCCACAGAAATACCAGAATACTCGTAGGCTATATTCTTGAGAAGAAGGCAAAATCCTCGAGATATAACAACTAAGAAAAGATTAGTTGCTGCTTCTTTCCCGCGATGTCTGGATGAACTGGAAAAAATTCACAAATTGACGACAATCCTTTTAAAAGGCACCCTGCTTTCTCAGAGCAGGCCAGCTACATTGTAGCGAAACGCGCCGTCAGTTGATGCTTTGATTCCACACGAGGAATTTAAAAAATAATCCGCTCACACCTCCGAACAGCAGCAGCGTCATCCTCCACCTGTCCAGCTCGTCATCATTCATCCAGTCGATGCATATTCACGAGGACGCTGCTGATAGTAGTAAGCCTATAGTGTTCATTATTACACGTTGCGTTTAAACGTCTGTCAGATTGTCCCCCTGTGTATCTGCTTCAATATAAAGTCGCATAGGTTAGAAGCGTCCCGTGAACTGCAAATGTAACGCCCAACAAGTGCTTTTACAATCTACCTAAATAAAAACATAGCCTATGGACATTAAACATCACGATAAAGAAACACCACAGTTTCTTCCCTCAGGCAATCCATCTCATGAACATTTAACAATAAACGTGGAACACACAACACTATTATACATTATTTATTTAACACACATACTTATTACATTTCAAATTTGCACATATCATACCTGTACATATATAATTGTCTATATTATATATTGTGTTTTTGTTATTTTGTACATTGTCTATTTTGTATATTATTCCTTTTATTATCTGCGTCCTGTCTTGTCACTGTCATTCTGTTGCACTGTGGAGCTTCTGTAACTAAAACAAATTTGTCGTATGTGTAAACATAGGCTACCTGGCAATGAAGCTTTCTGATTCTGATTCTGATAATAACAAGAGAACCTTCTGATTCAATTCACTTATTTTATAGTGTAATAATGGAACCGGTCACAATCAGACATTAGTTTGGTTTAAGCTGGTTTACCAGTGTCTCGGAGCTGTTGTTCAGGTGGTCTAACGGGTCTCCCTGACTTATCTGTAAAATGTATCGTAAGGCTAATGGTGACTGGTCATTTATAGGAATGATCTGGACTCTGGAGCCTTCCGACTCAATGACGGATTGTATGTGAAAAAAGTGACACCTAGGGGTGGAGTCTCTAACAACACTTAAAACGTGAACCTCTTTCTCAGGGGACACCAAACTCTTTATATTCGTTTAATGTTGATAAAAAGCATAACATCTTCCTTTCTTTTTTAATTCCTTTAATTCAATTTTAAACATCCATTGATCCAAATTAGGCATTTGACTTGTCATGTGAAAAGGATAGGTAAGCTAAGCCTATTCAAAGGAGAATAATAGGCTATAGAAATTATTATGACTAAGGTGTGGGTGAAATAATTGTCACATAGATATAAAGTTGTGTAAATGTTGAAATGTGACATGCTTTCATGAGTATAATTTTTATTGTCACAATATTTGTCTCTCTTTTATATTCATATTTCAGTGTCCATTATTTATTGTTCAAATTTGACTTCTGCTCAGGCGAGCGGTCCTTAGCCACATGACAAGGTTCTGCAATGAGAATAAGAAGGGGGGAAAAAAATTTAATTAGACGCAATAAATACCTTCATCAAATATTTTGCAGGTGTGTGTGTATTTCCTGATATTTGCAACCACAATTAAATTATATTGATATTTGCTTAATATTTAAAGAGGTTCTATAGAATATTGATCAACATTGATATTCACATGTTTTGGCTCAGACTGGGTTCTCTGACCTGGTACTCCATCATAGGAGTACTGGCTTTCTCTTTTGATTCCACACACAGCTTGCTTCCAGTTCATGTCAGACTCATTTCTCTCTCGCTCTCTGTGTGTGTGCAGGGTCAAATAAGAAAAATTTGTGCTATTTTTTTTTTAACAGTCCCTGTCCATGGCAAGTGTGACTTACTGAAGAGGTAGAGTGTGTTTTTGGTCATATTATTGAATTGATTTATGTGCATGGTGATGCAGTCAGGGCAGGATGGGAGAAACCTGCCCTCTGTTGATGTCATTTTCTTTAGATCAAAAAGTCATGCAAGTCAACAACCCTTGATCTCAGCTGAAAAAAGTGTTAACACAATGTGTTGAATGAAATAAATGTCTTACCAAAGAGATAAAGGTGCCGTCTTTAAGAGTTATGTTGTTATAATACTATATTATAAACTTGACTATCTCCATTTCTGACGGGGAGAATGATCAGATTTGAAAGATATGACTCAAAATCCTGGTCATTAAGCATTAAATTACAAAGGATGCACAAACTAGAGGAAGCATCTTAATGTAAAGAATCTTACTTGATGTACCTGTGACCAAGGGATGCGGTGTTTGCAGGAGTTCTCGGTCCAACACCCATCTATGAAGTGTTGGCACTCTTCAGTGAGTTCATAAATAACTGGTGATCAGAGACACCTTCACGGACAATCCATTTCCCCATGATCTATTGTAAACAAAATTAATCAGTGAAATTGAGACTTTAAAAACTTACTCCACCATGGTCCATAAAACAAATGTAAGAAAGTTAGTTAATTTATTTAATAATCATTTATTAATTAAAAATCATAATTTAATATTTTTTCAATACAGTAAATTACATATAAACTTATATACACAACATATGATTTAGTTCCAGACACATTAGATAATAATAATACTAATAATAAAATGCCGCCTGTAGAAATTTGTATCTAAATGAATTCTACATTTCTTTTGTCATTAAATGCAAATCCCTATAGGTTTCTACAAGTATTATTAAAAAAGATTGCATTTAGAGCATTTACATATTTTTCATTCCATTTGAAATAAGTTTATTTTATGTTTGATGCCTCAATTGAAAGTTAGAAATTGAACTGGAATTTAAAAGGTATTTTCAGTTGAGTTCTGAATGGCACAGGACTCTGCTTTTAACACTAGTCACTTACCAAATTATACATCATAAACTACAGGTTGTTCTATAAACCATATGAGTTGTTCAGCAATCTTAATTTTTATTATGAACACCATATTAATGCATATTTGACTCAGTTTTGATAGCAGATAAGTAAATAATAACTTCACAAAATTTACTGATTATTTATATTTATCAATTTTTGAGGTAAATTTGGGGTAAACATATGTAAATAAGTGGTTATCAACTATGATCTATTTATCTTTTTCGAAGAAAATAAATGTTCCCTGTTTCCTCATAAGCTCCTGTAGTGTTAATTTACTATAAAAGAATACTTGCTCTAAAATCTATTAATAATGCACTTACACATTTATTGTCATCCGCTGTGTTATGAGCTCCTTACAGTCTGGCAGAGATGCCTGACTCAAACTAAACAGGCCCAGAGCATTCAAAACCACTGACGTACATAGACATTGTAGAACTTCAGAAGAGGTTCTTGATTTCATGATTTTAGAAAATCATGCTGTGTGGATCAAGTACCCTAAATAGTCCAGATACACAGTACTGTTTTTTTTTTCTCCCGGAAGTGATGCAACAGGTTCTGAGAATTCTAGTTAACTGGATTGAATTGAGTGTGTAAATCTCTGGACTTTGGACAACTGGGAAACACCCCTGTCAGAATAACCTTGAGCCTTTAGAAATGAGGACAATCCCAAAAGATACTGAACTTACCCACACAGTCACATTCATAATAATTTATGTATGAGTGGTATGAATGTGAACTTTTGTTATTACCACTTATTAAAACACACACACACACACACACACACACAAACAAACAATGACACGATGAATAAAAAAGATTCTTTATTCAATTTAACTTTGTCATGGTGGTTCTTACAAATTTGATCGCAAAAAAAGGTTTAATGCATGCATGTATTATTGATCTGATTTGTCCAAACTTGGCTTCTGGTCAGATGAGTTGTCCTTGACCACATGACAGAGTTCTGCAATAAGAGGAGAAGAAAAAAACTATTAATGTGCAATTAATTCAGTATCTCTTAATTCTGATTTCTTTTTGATTTGGGGGTTAAATTATGACCTAAACATGTTATAGAACGATTTTGTGAGATTTACCTGTAACTTCTGTATCTGAAATCATGATTTATACATATTTATAAGTGATATTGAATCTCAAATGACCAGGAGCAGTAGCTGCTCTACATCAGAACCAATAGCTGTTGCCAGGGCCGTCCCCGTGGGGCCCGGTGCAAGGTAGGGAGCCGGGCCCCCCTCGGTCCGTTCACGATCACGTTCTGGGCGTTCCGGGGAGGTCTCCCTCAAGCGCGGGGCCCGGTGCAACCGCACCAGTTGCACCCCCCTAAGGATGGCCCTGGCTGTTGCTTTCAATGAAAACTACAAGCACTTGAAACCCAAACTGACCTGTTACTCCATCATAGGAGTACTGGGTTTCTCTTTTGAATCCGAGACACTCAGCTTGCTTCCAGTAGGTGTCCATGTCAGTCTCGGTTTGGTTGCTCTCTCTCTCTGCAGGAACAAAGAAGAAATAAATGAACGCTTTCTCCACAGCTGGTCATGGAATACATAATTTTAATATGATGCAATGTGTCTACATGGATTCCACATGCCTATGGATTTTGTGACTTACTGAATAAGTATAAAGAATATATGGTCTTATTTTTGAATTGGCTGATGAAGTTCATGGTGAGACAGTCAGGACAGGACGGCAAGAACTTGCCCTCTGATACTATGTCATTTCCTGTGGACCAAAAACACCAACATAACATTCATTAGTACTCAGAGTCCATGAGTTTTACCTGAAATAAATACGCTTTTGTTAACTTACCACTGGCATAAAAAATACTATCTTTAACAGTTGTGTTAATGGTGCAAAATTCACACTTTCCATTTCTTAGAGGGAGAGAGATATCAGATTCAGAATGCTGGTCATCATAATGATAAAATTCATTTAGTTTAGCTTTAGTTTACAGGACAGCCTTACAGCATATTCCCTTGACTGAGGGTTAAAGTTTTTGCAAGAGTGCTTGGGCCAAACTCCATCCATGAGCTGTTCACAGTCTTCAAGATATCTGTAAATAAGTGGTGATCAGCTATGCCTTCAAGGAAGATCCATTTACCCATGATCTGTTTGGAAGAGAAAAGAAGTTGTGAAATTTATGCTCCTTATATAATCTCCCGTAGTGTTCATTTACTGTAAAAGAATACTTGCTCTAAAATCTATTAATAATGCACTTACGCTTTTATTGTCATCCTCCAGGGTTCGCGGTGTTATGAGCTCCTTACAGTCTGGCAGAGATGCCTGACTCAAACTAAACAGACCCAGAAGAGCAGCCAAGACCACAGAAGAAGACATTGTAGGACTTCAGAAGAGGATTTCAGAAAAT